CCTTGGCGTTCTTGTGCACAGGGACTATGGTGGTCTGCTTGAAACATGTAGGTATTACAAACTGGTTCAGGGAGAGGTTGAAAATGTCAGTGAAGACACTTGCCAGATGGTCAGTGCATGTTCTGAGTACATGTGCTGGTAATCCGTCGGGAGGACGTTGGAAACCAGCCACTAGGGGCAACAGTGAACGCTGTTACCTTCGAGTAGATTTCGGTTTAGCTAGGTTGTTGTGGACGGGGATGGTGGATGGGTGTAAGCATCTGATTCCAAAGGTTGCAAGTTCAAATCCAGCAATAGAAAGTTGTTTTTGGGATTTTTGTTTTAAGCCTATGCCAAACCTTAACCCTTACCTTAACCATTAATGCCTAACCTTAAGATTTCGGAGTTAATGCCTAAACTTAACCTTAAACACTTGTGACGTTTAAAACAACTTCGAAATTTGATGTTTGGGAAACATGGATGAACGTCTAATTCTGAAGTGAGACTGTGAAAGCTAGTTGGGATTTGGCTGTCGGTGTTGGTTTTGAATAGCCATTATGTGCATGCAAATGTATATTTCCAGGTTTACTAATGCACCCTCTGTCAAAGATGGGTCTGCTAGGAGAGCTCATCTTGCAAGATCCAAGCCATGTTTATTAGGCTACATATCTACGTCAGGCGTTTCAGTAGGTAGAACTAGTAGGAGTGTTGTCACGATACCAACATTTTACTAATGATACAATACCAGGCCAAGTATCACAATACCGAGTAGTATCGCGATTGATACCACGGGGGGGGGGGGGATTCTGAGTGGCCTAGCATCCTGTTCGCCCCGTCCCCCCGACATCCGTTTTCTAAATGTTAATCACGTGCTACACAAAAAACCTGTCACTGATATTCACATCAATACAACACATATTGAACTCCACACTGTATAATAGAATACTGCATAGAATGGCTGATTTGCTCATATTTTCATAGGCCTACCTGTGATTTGGCTAGAAGAATGGGAGGAAGGAATATACATGCATAATGATCTGCATGTAATTGTGGCAATAAGGGGAAAACACTACATGAGTTAACAACTTAAGTTAACACACAGATACACACACTCTCCCTCGCTCACACACTCTCTCGGTCTCCCTCATAAACACACACACACCACTCTCTCTCCCACAAACACATACACACTGCTACCAACTTTAAAAACATTAGGCACCAACCAGAAAGAGATTGATTTTTGATAGTTTAGGCTTACATTAGGCCTATATGAACCCTACCTTTGAAGCACATCTCATGAGTAGCAGACTCTTTTCCTTTGTTCCTGTGCCAATCAAATGTTCCTAGACTTACTGTCAAGTTACCAGGTTGTTAGCTAGCTCAGCCTGGCCTCATAGACTAGACGTAACATAGTAAATGTAAATCCGGGACACTCAAATTAGTACGGTATGTTAAATTTGTTATGGTTATACATAAGGTTACTTAAAGCAAAAACAAAATGAGGGTGGTTGGTCAGGATGGAAGGGTAGCCGTATAACGCAAACGTCTAGGAACCCAAAGGTTCAAATCTCATCATAGAAAATGTTAGCTAATTAGCAACTTTTCAACTACGTACTACTTTTTAGCTGCATTGCAACTACTTAGCATGTTAGCTAACCCTTCCCCTAACCCTAACCTTTTAACCTAACTCCTAACCTTAACCCTAACCCCTAGCCTAGCTAACGTTAGCCAGCTAGCTAACGTTACCGTTAGCCACCTAGCTAACGTTAGCCACAACAAATTGGAATTCGTAACATATCATAAATACATACCATACATACGCTATATATTCAAAAGTATGTGGACACCCCTTCAAATTAGTGGATTTGGCTATTTCAGCCACACCCGTTGCTGAGAGGTATAAAATCAAGCAAACAGCCATGCAATCTCCATAGACAAACATTGGCATTAGAATGGCCTTACTGAAGAGCTCAGTGACCTTCAACGTGGCACCGTCATAGGATGCCACCTTTCAAACAAGTCAATGTCAATGTCTTACATATGTGGTAACTGTGAAGTTTGCTTACCCTGAGAAAGTTATTTAGAATAGGGAAAGAAATGAAGTGAGAAAAAGGGGTGGGGATTGACTCATAATTCTATCGTGATTGACATATTCATTCAGTGGTTCTTATAGGAAGCTCAGGCTAAATAATTGGTGTAGACCAGGGGTGTCAAACTCATTTTAGCTCAGGGGCCACATGGAGGAAAATCTATTCCCAAGTGGGCCGGACCGGAAAAATCATGGTATATATAACTTAAAAACAACAACTTCAGATTGTTTTCTTTGTTTTAATACGATCAACATACAACATAAAGCTGGAGCCTGAGGACAGTGTGTCCAAAATAGTACAAGCACAACATCACTATTAATCATAAAACACCTAAAGTTTATTTGAAAATTCTAAAGAAAAAGAACACACAAACACACAATGCCTCAGTGATTAACAGAACTGTTTCACAGATCACAGAACTATATCAGGGTGTCATTTCTCAGGCAGAAATGTAAATAAAAATAATGAAATCCTGTTCCCCAAACAAGTGCAAGAACCACAGAGTCAAGAATAGGTTAAATATACAAATAAAATAAAATAAATTAAAAACAATAGCACATCAACATAAAAACATATAAACATAAAGCTGGAGCCTGAGGACAGTGTCCAAAAGCACAACATCACTATTAATCATAAAACACCTCAAGTTATTTGAAAGTTCTGAGGACAAAGAACACACAAACACACAATGCCTCAGTGATTCACAGAGGTATATCACAGATCACAGAACTATATCAGGGTGTCATTTCTCAGGCAGAAATGTAGATAAAAAATTATGAAATCCTGTTCCCCAAACAAGTGCAAGAACCACAGAGACAAGAATAGGTTAAATATACAAATAAAATAAAATCAATTAAAAACAATAGCACATCAACATAAAAACATATAAACATAAATCTGAAAGCGTTGCTCAAACTCCCGTAACAGTCCAGTTATTTTATCTTTGAACCGCTTCATGTCTGCCACATGTTGGGTCGCGCACACATTTTTCAGACAGGGGAAGTGAGTTGCATCACCACCGGCAAGTTGCGTCTCCCACAATGACAGCTTCAACTTGAAAGAACGTATGCTGTCATAATACTGCGTGACAACTTTGTTGCGCCCTTGCAGCTGTTTGTTCAAGTTATTCAGGTGCTCTGTAACATCCACCATAAAAGCAAGGTCCGGCATCCATTCTGCGGAATGAAATTCTAACACTGGTTTGCCCTTTTCTTCCATGAACTGTTCAATTTCTTCTCGTAAATCAAAGAAACGCCTCAGCACAGCACCTCGGCTTAACCATCTTACCTCAGTGTGGTATGGCAGGCCATAGATGTGGTATTTCTCTCTGAGAAGGCTGTCAAACTGACGGTGATTCAGGCTTCTGGATCGGATGAAATTAACAGTTTGGATGACCACCTTCATGACGTTATCCATCTTTAATGACTTGCAACACAAAGCCTCCTGGTGCAAAATACAGTGAAAAGTCAAAAAATCACGTCCTCCATTTGCAGATTGCACTTTCTCTCTGAACTTTGTCACAACGCCTGCTTTTTTCCCGATCATTGAGGGCGCACCATCTGTAGCCAGGCTGACAGCGCGGGACCAGTTCACTCCGACCCTGTCCAGCGCGCCGACGAGTGCGGTAAAAATATCAGCTGCTGTCGTTGTATCTGTCATCGGCACCAACTCCACAAACTCCTCGGTGACGGTCAATGTGTCATCAACTCCGCGGATGAAAAAATGGCCAGTTGTGCAACATCTGTAATGTCCGTGCTTTCATCAATTGCAACCGAAAACGCAATAAATGACTTTACTTTTTGCTTCAACTGGCTGTCCAAATCCACTAAAAGATCGGAAATCCTGTCTGCAACTGTGTTTCTTGTCAGGCTGATATTTGCAAAAGCCTGCCGCTTTTCAGGGCACACAATCTCCGCTGCCTTCATCATGCATGTTTTTACAAATTCACCCTCACTAAATAGTTTTGAAGCCACTGCGATTTCATTAGCAATGAGGTAGCTAGCTTTCACTGCAGCGTCACTGATGTCTCGGCTGTGAGTAAACACAGACTGCTGTTTCTTCAGACCCGCCAACAGTTCATTCACCTTCTCTCATCTCCGCTGTCCTTGAAAGTTGTCATATTTGTCGGCATGAAGACTCACATAGTGGCGATGAAGGTTATATTCTTTCAGCACTGCAACATGCTCTGAACACACCAAACATACAGCTTTCCCATTCAATTCCGTGATTAAATAGGATGACCATTTTTCTTGGAACACTCTGCACTCTGCGTCCACTTTTCTCTTTTTTGACAGAGACATATTGGGGCAATGAGGGTGCCAAAGCACATAATGTTAAAAGTAGAAGCCGTAATAAATATCGCGGGCAAAACAAAGTAGCTCATTGGCTGCACGTGCTTGACGTACTTGCTCTGCCCCGGTATAAACAGTTTGCTTGCTTAACACAATTGCTATTGCGCCATCCAGTGGACGCAATTGGAACAGCAGTTTATTTTATTGAAAAATTGCAGCGCATTTTTATACCCAAAAAAAAAAAAAAAAAAAACGTTTTTGTTATTTATTTATTTATTTCCAAATCATCTCGCGGGCCGGATTAAACCCGTTTGACACCCCTGGTGTAGACAAAGCACTGATCACGGGTCCATCATCAAAAGCAACAGGCGATCATTGATTGCCAATGCCTACTGACTGTCAGTACTCTGTGTTAATCAATGTAGCAGGATATACATAGATGTGTTGCCATTGTCAGTGAGACTGAATCACATCAGATGAGTAATGTTTGTAGTATGCTGTCTCACCTCCCTGTGTGGTTTACCGGGATAGTCCACCACAGAAGCCTGTCAGTTTTTTTCATACCGCTGAAATTTAAAGAGTCAGTGGAACAAAGGAATTTACATATGTTGCTCTTCTGTCTGATTTCCTGTGTTTCAGCGGGGGTGGAGACAGTTCCCTGGACAGGCTTCTTCCATCCGTCAGCTCTGGGCTGGCACCACGGAAACGGACCACCAGCCAATGCAAGTCAGAACCGCCCCTGCTGCGGACCTCTAAACGGACCATCTACACAGCCGGCCGCCCACCTTGGTACAACGAGCATGGAACCCAGTCCAAAGATGCCTTTGTTATCGGTAGGAACCCTCAGGAGTTAGTAAAATAATGCTTTGTTGTCTGTTTTTATGTACGAAAATGAAGTGTCTTCTGCTTCCCAACCCCTCTAAGACACACATGACATGGTGAACGTCACAGGGTTAAGACCAGCAGCAGGGTAAAGTACTTAAGTAAAAAGTAGTTTTTTGGGGTATCTGTACTTTACTTTATTATTTATATTTTTGACTACTTTTACTTTTACTTCACTACATTCCTAATGAAAATAATGTACTTCTTACTCCATACATTTCCCCTGACACCGAAAAGTACTCGTTACATTTTGAATGCTTAGCAGGACAGGAAAATGTTCCAATTTACACACTTACAGTGGGGAAAAAAAGTATTTAGTCAGCCACCAATTGTGCAAGTTCTCCCACTTAAAAAGATGAGAGAGGCCTGTAATTTTCATCATCGGTACACGTCAACTATGACAGACAAATTGAGAATTTGTTTTCCAGAAAATCACATTGTAGGATTTTTAATGAATTTATTTGCAAATTATGGTGGAAAATAAGTATTTGGTCAATAACAAAAGTTTCTCAATACCCTTGCTGATGGAAGGAGGTTTTCACTCAAAATCTCACGATACATGGCCCCATTCATTCTTTCCTTTACACGGATCAGTCGTCCTGGTCCCTTTGCAGAAAAACAGCCCCAAAGCATGATGTTTCTACCCCCATGCTTCACAGTAGGTATGGTGTTCTTTGGATGCAACTCAGCATTCTTTGTCCTCCAAACACGACGAGTTGAGTTTTTACCATAAAGTTCTATTTTGGTTTCATCTGACCATATGACATTCTCCCAATCCTCTTCTGGATCATCCAAATGCACTCTAGCAAACTTCAGACGGGCCTGGACATGTACTGGCTTAAGCAGGGGGACACGTCTGGCACTGCAGGATTTGAGTCCCTGGCGGCGTAGTGTGTTACTGATGGTAGGCTTTGTTACTTTGGTCCCAGCTCTCTGCAGGTCATTCACTAGGTCCCCCCGTGTGGTTCTGGGATTTTTTCTCACCGTTCTTGTGATCATTTTGACCCCACGGGGTGAGATCTTGCGTGGAGCCCCAGATCGAGGGAGATTATCAGTGGTCTTGTATGTCTTCCATTTCCTAATAATTGCTCCCACAGTTGATTTCTTCAAACCAAGCTGCTTACCTATTGCAGATTCAGTCTTCCCAGCCTGGTGCAGGTCTACAATTTTTTTCTGGTGTCCTTTGACAGCTCTTTGGTCTTGGCCATAGTGGAGTTTGGAGTGTGACTGTTTGAGGTTGTGGACAGGTGTCTTTTATACTGATAACAAGTTCAAACAGGTGCCATTAATACAGGTAACGAGTGGAGGACAGAGGAGCCTCTTAAAGAAGAAGTTACAGGTCTGTGAGAGCCAGAAATCTTGCTTGTTTGTAGGTGACCAAATACTTATTTTCCACCATAATTTGCAAATAAATTCATAAAAAATCCTACAATGTGATTTTCTTGATTTTTTTTCTTCTCAATTTGTCTTTCATAGTTGACGTGTAGCTATGATGAAAATTACAGGCCTCTCTCATCTTTTTAAGTGGGAGAACTTGCACAATTGGTGGCTGACTAAATACTTTTTTCCCCCACTGTATCAAGAGAACATCCCTGGTCTACTGCCTCTGACCTGGCGGACTCACTAAACACAAATGCTTCGTTTGTAAATTATGTCTGAGTGTTGGAGTATTCCCTTGGCTATTCGTAAATTTAAAAAACGCAAATTGTGCCTTCTGGTTTGCTAAATTTAAGGAATTTGAAATTATGTACACTTTTACTTTTGATACTTAAGTATATTTAAAACCAAATACTTTTAGACTTTTATTCAAGTAGTATTTTACTGGGTGACTTTCACTTGAATCATTTTCTATTAAGGTATATTTACTTTTACTAAAGTAAGATAATTGGATACTTTTTCCACCACTGTTTGACACACCTTTTCTTACTTCCACAAAGCATTCCAGGATGTATGCAACAAGCATGGCCATTTCAAACAATACAGAATTAAGGACAGAGACAACCCTTGGTTCTCAGATGAACTAGCTGAAATCAAATGGAAACGGAATGCTGTGTGGGCTAAAGCAAGAAGGTCTGATTCAGCTGATGATTTGATGGCTTTTAAATGCCTTCGGAATCAGGATGTTGCTATGACCCGAAAGCTGAAAGCAGACCACTACCTCAAATCTACTGCTGATAATCTGAATAATCTTTCTACATTTTGGCAAGTAGTGAAAAGTTTAGAGTGCAAAAATTATGAACAGCTCCCTAGACAACTGGTTGGCTCAAAGGTGGTAACTGAGAGAACCTCTATTCTGAACTCTTTTAATCAACATTTTCTTGATGCAGGTGGATTATTTGATAGGGTTAAAGGTCAACATGAGCCCCCTGGGAAATTAACAGACACTCCCGAGCACTCCTTCTCCTGGTTATCCTTCTTGCCCTTTTCTGTCTCAGAGGTCCGTAGAGCCCTGAAAGCAATTGATGTGAAAAGATCCCCTGGCCCTGATGATCTATACCCCCGCCTACTACAATTAGCTGCAGACATCATTGATCCCCCTTTAACCTCACCCTAGAATGTAATGGAATCCCCAGGTTGTGGAAATCAGCATTTGGCCTACCTCTTTTAAAGGAGGTGATCCCACTCTACAGAATAACTATCGGCCCATATCTAAGTTGTCTATTCTGTCAAAGGTATTAGAGTCCCTAGTCAATAAGCAGTTTAAGGCCTACCTCCAGGAAACAATATTTTGAGTGGTATGAGTGGCCACAGCACTGTCACAGCAACTTTGAAGATTTGGAATGATGTTTACTGTACCCTGGATAGGAAGCTGCATTGTGTATCTGTATTCATAGACTTGTCAAAGGCGTTTGACACTGTGGACCATACTGTCCACAGGCTCTGAGTGGTTTGTGAACTACCTGTCAAATGTATTTTTATCCAGTGTGTTAAGGAAGATCGTTGTAAGTCGGATACCATAGAGTTGTGCTCGGGAGTGCCTCAAGGATAAATTTTAGGTCCCTTGTTGTTTATTATCTATATTCATAACATTGGTCCTCTGTAGCTCAATTGGTAGAGCATGGCGCTTGTAACGCCAGGGTAGTGGGTTCGATCTCCGGGACCACCCATACGTAAAAATGTATGCTAAATGGCATATTATATTATTATTATTTTATATTGAGACAGCTGATGTACATTTTTATGCGGATGACACTGTTCTTTATTCAAGTGTCAGCAGTTTGACTTTGGCTTTCGAAAAAGTTCAAACAGCTTTTAACATCATTCAACAGAATCTGTACGATTTGAAGCTTGTTCTGATTTCCTCTATAACAAAATGCATGGTATTTTCCAATATTAAACACTCTGAAAACCATGTAATTACTACCTTGGAAGGACATTCTATAGAGCAAGTCAAAATGTACAAATATCTGGGAGTTTGGGTGGATGAGAAGTTGAGCTTCACCAACCATGTAGAGAACCTTGTCAGGAAACTCAAGCTCTGTATTGGGTTTTATTACCGGTACAAAGCTTGTTTTTCAGTTGGCGCCAGAAAGGAGTAGATTTGTTTGTACTTTTCTATCCGTATTCGACTATGGTGTTTCTATGTATTACACTGAAGGCTCTTGAATCTGTGGACCACGCAGCCCTTTGTTTTTGTCACCAATCAGAGACGTCTAACTCACCATTGTGATCCATACAGTGCTGTCGGGTGGACATCACTAGCAACACGTAGGCTCCAACACTGGTATATTCTTATTTATCTTTTTTAGGAAAATTGCAATTTTATCTATCCTCTCTTCTAGCTCGAATTGAAAGCACATACAAGCTCAGATCTCAATCTTGTTTTATGCTAAGAGTCCCAAAGAATTAGAACCGAGCATGGAGAAAGGTCCTTTCATTACTCAGCCCCTTGGTCTTGGAATTCCCTCGAAGCTAACCTAAAACTCCAAGACCTGGTGTCCCTAGAGGAGTTCAAAAGACAAATAGATGAACAGGTTGTTGAGACGTAGTTGTTTCTAGTTGTCACTAGTTTGCGTTGCCTTATATAAGGAAGCATGTTGTTTTACGTCACACACACCACACTCATGCCTGCACACACACACACACAGCCACTGTTTGTTTGCTGTTGTATTTGTGCTGTTTGCAGTGTCTTCTGTCTGAGCTGTCCATTTTGTCACACATTGTTTATAGTTTTTTTTATCCCAGACCCCGTCCCCACAGGAGGCCTTTTGCCTCTTGCCAGGCCATCATTGTAAATAAGAATGTGTTCTTAACTGACTAGCCTGGTTAAATAAGGGTTAAATAATTATCAGTCAGGAGAGGCCTTGAGTTATTGAGAGTACACATTCCTACAGTCCACTGCAGTTCACTAAATAATTACACTCTTCTCATACACAACGAGCTTGAACCTAACACCACTACTTTCAATCTCTAAGGATATAACAACAATCTATTCATACTAAAATAATATAATGATTTAAAACAGGGACACAATGGGAACTGGTGAGATGAGCGAGGCAGACAATGACCACTTAAAAGTCCTTGGTTCTGATAGATTTTAAATGACTGTTTTATAAGTGGTCATTGTCTACCTCGCACATCTCACCAGTTCCCATTGTGTCCCTGTGTGTCCTGCAGGTCTGTGTGGGGGCAGTGCCTCAGGGAAGACCACTGTAGCCAGGAAGATCATAGAGGCTCTGGATGTCCCCTGGGTGGTCCTGCTCTGCATGGACTCCTTCTACAAGGTGTGTGTGTGTGTGTGTGCGCACATGCATGCTAGTGAACTCGCTTGCACATATATATTTGTGCACGCGTGTAGCCGTGTGTGCATGTATGCTTAGTATGTACAATCATTTTAGAGGCCGCCCTATCCAGTTTTAGAACCTCTTTCAGTTCAAATGACTGTCACATACTAGAGATTCATCTCTTGCTCAATAACAGCACAACAACACTCATGCACAGTACAGCTTTCCTCTCACTCCCCCCAGAATCTGAACGAGATCTGGAGATGTGTCTACTGTGTTTTAATACCACTTAATCCCATTATCTGTCTCTCTCTCTCTCTCTAGTCCCTCTCTCTATCTTTCTACCCTGAGTGACCAGGCTTTTAAAGAGAGAAAAGTGATAGAGAGATGGAAGGATCCCTGAGGGGATAAGAGGGCAGATGTCAAATGAGAGGGGGGGGGGGGGGGGGGGGGACATAAAAAAAGTTAAATGTGGGCGAGCGAGTGTAAGGACAAGAGGAGTGAGATATTGGCCAAACAACCACCATTAAAATAGTCATCAGCCTCCCCTTCTTGTGTTACGTAATAGAGTGACAGCCTGACTTTACTGCAGCTCTACCAGCTTTACTGTAGGTCACTGCCTTTACCAGTCCCCTTTGGATCTTAACTAATGCCATTTTAAGATACCAAATACCAGCTGTGAGTTAACAACCAAACACCATTATCATTTATAACATCAGCAGCAGTGGTAGTTGCCATTAAATCACAGATCTAGGTTCAGTTTACCCTTCCCCAAATCTTAACCTTAACCATTAGGGAGATTTGAAAAATGACTGACCAGGTAACAGTGATTTGGGAAAACTTAGTCTCATTTGGGAAAACTCCTGCTCAGTCCCATATCCATGGATATCCACTCTGAGATATCACACCTCTCATTATGGCTTTCCAGGCCCCATCTTGACTCTAGAGTAGCACTGACCTGGTTGTATTTCTATGACACTGTTAATTATAAAGTGCTTATGATTGGACCACGAGAGGAGGGGGTGGGAGAGGGCCAAATACCAGGGCCGGAGTTTTAAAGGGCTGCCTACGGTCCAGTGCACACACACACACCTCCTGGCACAGTCCTCACAGGAGGGTCACAACATTCCTCACAGGAGGGTCACAACATTCCTCACAGGATGGTCACAACATTCCTCACAGGAGGGTCACAACATTCCTCACAGGATGGTCACAACATTCCCGTCCCAGCTAAATTTTGTCAAGCTAATTTGAGAGGCACTCCACTAGGGGGTGTGTGTGTGCACATGCACGTTCAGGTGCACATGACTATGTCTAAGTCCTGTGTAAGTCCTGGTCAAGAGAGTATCATGTTCATGCTAAATCCACAGATATTTCAGGGATGACGTTCTGCTTGCAATTTGGCTCTGATTTACTGTTATTTTAATGTTCGTCCAATGTTGTGTCTAGGTTCTGACACCTGAGCAGCAGGTCACGGCAGCCAGTAATGACTACAACTTTGACCACCCGGATGCCTTTGACTTTGGCCTGCTGGCACACACACTGCGGAAACTCAAACTGGGCAAGAGTGTCAAGATCCCTGTGTATGACTTTACCACACACGGACGCCAGAAGGAGTGGGTAAGACACACTCGGATGAACACACACGCACACACACAATCAAACAGAAATGCCCCCCCCACACACACACACACACACGTGTAGAAACACAGTGTAAAACACACACAGCTCCTCTCAGTGTGTACCATAAAAGAGTTGGAGTTGACGTAGGGTTATTGCAATATAATCTTGGTCGCTAGATTACTCAACAGTCTTTTAATCTCCATATCCGGAGTTACTCTATGACATGCAGTTGCAGATCCATCCCAGATGCACAGTGGCAGCCATTCACGTTTGACTTAACATGTTTTACGGTTATCCCCTAACAATGAGAAGTTTAACCCTGTTAACCATTAGCATGGGGGAAGATAGAAAACTGAGTCTCAGTCACGTTTTACGGATAGACATTACCAGACACGTACGGCACAGGGACCGATTGTGACATTAGAGAAATGTGGAATTGTTACCAAAAACAACACAGACGTTTTGGTGGCGACCATGCACTTCTGGTAGTGTCAAAATCGTACTTAACCCACAGCGTTTGTATTCAGCCAGGTGACTTACAGTATGTGTGTTTCATCCCTTTCAGAAAACAGTGTATGGAGCCAGTGTTATCATCTTGGAGGGAATCATGGCCTTTGCAGATAAAGAGCTGTTACAGGTAAGACTGGAAGACACGTTGATGGCATTACGAGCAGGTTGTGTGTGCACGTGTCTGTGTGTTTCTCATGGTGTGTGTGTTTCTCATGGTGTGTGTGTTTCTTACTCATGGTGTGTGTGTTCTCACATGGTGTGTGTTCTCTCATAGTGTGTGTGTGTGTGTGTGTGTTTTTTCATGGTGTGTGTGTTCCCTCATGGTGTTTGTGTTCTCTCATAGTGTGTGTGTTTCTCATGGTGTGTGTGTTCTCTCATGGTGTGTGTGTTCTCTCATGGTGTGTGTGTTCTCTCATGGTGTGTGTGTTCTCTCATGGTGTGTGTGATCTCTCATGGTGTGTGTGTTCTCTCATGGTGTGTGTGTGTGTGCGTGCGTGCGTGCATGCGTGTGTGTGTGTTTCTCATGGTGTGTGTGTTCTCTCATGGTGTGTGTGTGTGCGTGCGTGCGTGCGTGCATGCGTGTGTGTGTGTGTTTCTCATGGTGTGTGTTTCTCATGGTGTGTGTGTGTGTGTGTGTGCGTGCGTGCATGCGTGTGTGTGTGTGTGTGTTTCTCATGGTGTGTGTTCTTTCCACCCCACAGCTGCTGGACATGAAGATATTTGTGGACACGGACTCAGACATCCGTCTGGTGCGTCGGCTGCAGAGGGACATCACAGAGCGTGGCCGGGACATCGAGGGCATCATCAAACAATACAATACGTTTGTGAAGCCCGCCTTTGAGCAGTACATTGAGCCCACCATGCGACTGGCTGACATTGTGGTACCACGCGGTAAGATTTGGAACCAGCACAAACACACTGAAAACTTAATAATGTATGACCATGTGCTCTCTCACACACACACACACACACACACACACACATACATTTGCTTATACATATACTCTCACAGACTTAGACCTTTAGGGGTGAACTTCCACTTAAATCAAATGTTGACTTAGTCGTGCATTGGCGTTAAGTGAAAAGTGAAAAGTTGACTTAGTCCCCTAAACCATTATAATATACACACATAATGTCATCACTGTCTAATGTCACTTCCTCTTCCTGTGTGTGTCATATCCTGGAAGGAGGAGGCAACATGGTGGCCATAGAGCTGATCGTACAGCATGTCCACAGCCAGCTAGAGGAGGTAAGAGTTCCTCCCTTCACTCTCCTTATACTCCTCCAGCTTGACAGCTCTACATCTAACCTAGCCTCCCGAGTGGCGCAGTGGTCTAAGGCACTGCATCACAGTGCTAGCTGTGCTACTAGAGATCCTGGTTCGAATCCAGGCTCTGTTGTAGGCGGCTGCGACCGGGAGACCCATGGGGCGGCGCACAATTGGTCCAGGGTAGGGGAGGGAATGGCCGGCAGGGATGTTGGTAGAGCATGGCGTTTGCAACGCCAGGGTTGTGGGTTTGATTCCCACGGGGGGGGGCAGTATAAAAATATATATATATAATAATGTATGCACTCACTAACTGTAAGTCGCTCTGGATAAGAGCATCTGCAAAATGACTAAAATGTAAATGTAACCAGAGCAGACAGGACCAGTTTACGAACTGATACTAGCTCCACTGCCCCCTCTAGTGGAACAAGAAAGCATTTTCTCTAATAGCATGATTTCCTGAGAAAGATTACACAAAATGAAGTATAAACATGTCGAGCATGACCAGAGGCTTATTCAATGTGGTGCAATATACTGTATGATTCTTTATTCTACACAACATACTCTATTTCTATCTGGTTGTTCTGTAACGTCCTGAATAGGTCACTGATGAGAGGTTAGATGAGGTGAATAGGTCAGGATGGATAGAGTGAATTAATGTTTTGCAATGTGACTTGTGGCACATGCACTAATGGCTAGCAGGGTTGGTGTGTCACTTCTATCACAATTAAGGTGCCTGAAATAAAATTCCAGTTGAAGAATTTGGAAAATGTAATCTTCCTTGGAAATAAATGGCAGTTTTCAGTTCATCTTCTAAAGTTGACCAAATTGAAATGGAATTGCTTCCATCCCTCATTACCAACGAAGGCATGTGTTCTTATTGTGGTGTTACCTATTTGACATGGTACTATTGGCCTTGCTCCACCTCACTGCACCACTCTCTCCACTCTACTCCCCCTTCATTCCTCCATCACACACAGCGCGAGCTCAGCGTCAGGTAGAGTAGCACAACTGTTTACTGTACCGCCGAACCCCCCCCCCCCCCCCCCCCCCCCCCCCCCCACCACACAACCGATTTAGTACCCTAAATCACTAATACAGGGTCAGATATCGTTATCTGTTCCCAGAAGTGGCAAGTTATACTTCGAAGCCACAAAATCAACATCCTCCCTGTCTCCAACTGCCTGTTGCTGTTACACAGTATCAACACTAGGAGCCCACCTTGTCAATGAGCACATGGACAAGTGATACAGTACAGTGAATGATGTAACAGGCTCTACGGGAAAAGAGTATTCCATTACAGATAGCATTATCAATAGTAATTGGCATGTGTGGAGTGACGCTTAATTCGCTATTAAGCAAACAGTACAAAAACAGCTATGAGTGAGCAGAACTTTGAGAGACAATCTGCCCTTTGACATCAGACACGCCACACTTCAGTTCTGTGTTTGACAGTTGAGTGAAGATGAATGCCCTTCTATCGGTTCTATGTGCAGCAGGCAGTTGATTGGAGGATGTTGTTTTTTCCTCTACCTTAAATACTTGATGGCTCACACACACACCCACCCTCTGCATTCTGTGTCTAAAAATAATCTACTGAGACATCCTCACTGACCTCTCAGCCCCAGAGAGAGAGAGAAAGAGAGAGAGAGAGAGAGAGAGAGAGAGAGAGAGAGAGAGAGAGAGAGAGAGAGAGAGAGAGAGAGAGAGAACTTCTGAGAGTAATGTTTACTGTTAATATTTATTGTTTATTTCACTTTTGTTTACTATCTACTTCACTTGCTTTGGCAATGTTAACATACGTTTCCCATGCCAATAACAATAAAGCCCTTCAATTGAAAATTGAATTGAGAGAGAGAGAGAGAGAGAGAGAGAGAGAAGAGAGCTATTGTCACAAATCGCATCTCAAACCGCAGCAAAAGTTTTCTATATCTACTACAAAAGGCTGAGTTTTTCCATTGAATATGTCGGCCACAGCAGATCAGAGTGGTAGAGAGAGAGAGAGAGAGAGAGAGAGAGAGAGGAAGTGCATTTGGTATCTCTTTAGACACAGGATGTATTGGGGCCGTTGAGCTGTGAGTCGTACCTCTGTATTGTAGAGACACAGTGTAGGTGTGACAGCCACAACCAGCGTGAGAGCAGCCCACGTGTAGAGACACAGTGAAGGTGTAACAGCCACAACCAGCGTGACAGCAGCCCACGTGTACACATAACACACAATGGCACAACCACTGACTGAATTACAGTGACTTTGTTACTGAATAGACTAACCGGGTTGAACTATTATTTGTAAATTGATCAAAAATATTATTTGGCAATTTTATATGGCAAAATGTGTCTTGGTCTGAGGAATTGTGAGGATTGCTCACAGCGTGTTGAGTTGTCACACACAGCACTGTATCACATGATCATCCCTTTATCCATCTCTTTATTTACCGTATGTTGTTTGTCTGTTTTTATTTTCTTCCCTTTTTCTGTTGTTGTTGTCGTCGTTGTCATTCTGTCTCTGTCACTGTGTGTCGTTGTGTTTCGTCCAAACCCTCTTCTCTCCATAGAGGAAACTTCGCTGGGATATGTGAGCAGATTTGCATATGATTTATCTGTGTTTGCATTTTTTTTCCGTTATCTAACAGGAGTTAAATTTTTTATGAAACGGTATCACAGCTTGTTTTATGTAGCTTGAGAGTGTGGGGTTTTAATGTGATATCACTCAACTCAAAGCTTGCATGACCTCAATTCTAATCTTTGGCAAGACCAGAACCCATTGTGCTGTATGTTTTTAAGTCAGATTCTAGCCAAAAACCAGGCCAGGCCTGGGCTAAGCCCTCTGCATAGTAACCTTCATTTTTCTTTAAATCAGCCTGTGTGGATCTGAATTGAGAAGTTGGGCTTTCTTTGCGTTGATGTGTGTGTGTGTGTGTGTGTTTGTGTGAATCACATGGGATTATAACAACACAAAGAGAAAAATTAAGAGAAAATCAGGGTGCTTAGGCCACCATTAGTAAGCAAAGGACATTTGATCCAAAGTTTCCTGCCTAGTTTCAGTTTCAATTATTGCACATTGATCTATGTTGAATTAATTACTCTTTCAGCACTCACTGTAGAATCTAACTGAATTGGAACCAAAACAGTAGCTAAGAATCATCAAACGTTCTCTTGAAGCTGTTGTATAATGGCAGACACTACTGTAGATGTTCAGTGCTGCTAACTGACCTGGATCTTTCTGCTCTTCCTATTTTAATCTGGTGTGTTTTAAATGTGTGTTTTCTAGAATCCTACCTACCCACTAATCAATATTAACACCAGTGTGATGATACTGTTTAAAAGTCTGTGTGTGCGCGCTTGCTGGTGTTTTTCAAGCCTGTGACTGGATGAATGCAACCTACCGCCGATTCCAGTGCTGATAAGTCCTTCCTCCATTTCTCCTCCTGGTTGCTATGGTTACAGGGCAGCCCTTGCCTCCGCCCACCAGGCCCAGCCTCTCCCCCAGACCCTGAGTGTTCTGGAGAGTACACCTCAGGTCAGGGGCATGCACACCATCATCAGGTACAATACACACTACACACTGTATACTGTAACTACTAGCTCTAGAACTACTGTAGAATGACCCACTACTAGTCAGGTACTGTACTCATTTATACAATGGGTGGATCTAATCCTGAATGCTGATTGGTTAAAATCTATTTCCACAAGTTACCACCGGCTAAATCTATGATGTTAAAATGCCTATTTACTCTGTTCCATCTGACTGCGCAATCCACTTTCTCATCAGCCCAGCCAGGCAATTTATCAACTTGATCTCCACTATAAAAAGCATCTAGACATTATCTCACATTTCTTTTAGACTAACATTTCGTTTTTAACAGCGGAGATTTGCGTAAACCTGGCTGTCTGTCTCTCCGACATTTGCAACATTGTTTCAATATTTAAATTCGATCTCCAGCTGTCACATAGTAATGAACGTGTTGGGACGAGACAGATAGGCAAGCAGCGTTTCTCAGCCAGTCGAAATCATGAATCAGCTGGCATCATTTTTATGGATATATACAAAAAAAGGTACATTGAATGAAACGAAGTGCAGCTAGTTTGCAGTCTTTCCAGCTTCAGTTTGAAGTGATTGTGTTACTGTAGCTGTGTTGTTGGCTAGCTCCTCTGAACAACAGTGTCCTGATGAGTGAGCACATTTTCTATGCCAGGCGAAATCGAGCCTCATTAGCTCATTGTTATGGATGTATCCAAATAAATGTCTGTAGAAAACAGCTTAAACAAATGCAAATGAGGCTACTTTGCTGTTATTCTGGCTGCACTTTTTGACGTGACTGTAAGTTAGCCGTAGTTGGCTAGCTAGCAAGCAAGGGATAAGAACATTGCCAGCTAGTATGGCAATGGAACATTTAGAACAAACGACTTGGTCGCGTCCATAGATACAGAACAAAAAGACTGAACGACTGGGTTGCGTCTCTAGCAAGCGAACTGATAGAACGAACGGGCTTGGGTAGCAACCCTAGATTTGTGTCTGGACTATATCTTGTAGAAGGATGAAATAGTATGAATAAATGCATCAAAATAAATATTTTAATGAAAATATGTCAATCATTATTTGAATATGTTGGTAACCCGTTGTATAAAAGTGATAATGCCCTTGAAGCCGGTGTTTAGAGGATATATTGGCACGGTTTGCTGGCCCTCGACTTTGTCTTGGGCCTAACAACACCAGTGCCAATATATCCTACAAACACCGGCTTCTTGGGCATTATCACTTAAATGCCCCAGGTCAGTAGCATGCACACCATCATCAGGTACAGTACACCAAAGCCATATTTTACGAGATTTTGGCCAGGTTTTAGAACGGACGCCACGTTAGCGCCTTTATTCTCAACATGTTGGTGATGTAACAATGCGAGACCGCCTCCGACAACTCCCTATGAAATGAGCCGCCGTTAACAAGCAACATTTTACCAACATAACATCTATCCAAGTCGGTACTGTGTTGTGGTGTCAACAAATCACATATCTGCTTTCACTGCACATCGTCATAGGTTTTGAAAACGATCAGAAATAAACAGCACAATGCGGAAGCGTTAATTACCCCATAGCTATGAAGGAGAAAAGGGCGCTCTCAGAACGTTCAGACACAAACCGCATTGGCCCAACTCTCTATATATAGTATATGACTGCAATACACACTACACACTGTATAACTACTACCTCTATAACTCATGTATAACTACCCACCACTACTAGTCAGGTACTGTACTAACATGCCCCAGGTCAGTGGCATGCCCACCATCATAAGATACCAGTAATAATCAATGGTACTACTCATTACTGTACTATTCAATATAACGACTCACTGACATAGTCAGATAATAACACAGGCAGGTCAGAGAGATGCATAAACATACTGTAGCATTCACTTCCACAATGTGGGTTGATGTGACTACATGGTCCATAGGGTCTATTTATATCTGTCTGACCCCTAACTGTCCTATCTCCTCTGCCCAGAAACAAAGAGACGAGCAGGGATGAATTCATCTTCTACTCCAAGAGGCTGATGCGTCTGCTGATTGAAAGAGCTCTCTCCTTCCTCCCCTCACAGGTATGTGTGCGAGAGAGAGAGAGAGAGAGCGAGCTCTGGCAACCTTGTTCTACAGTACCTAAATGTTCATACCATTAAGCATATTGGAATTTAGATTGATTTAGAGAGAGATTGAAAGATTGAGGGAGAAAAATGTAATAACTGAAAAACAGAGAGTTAGAAAGATGGAAACAGAGTGTAAGAGATGGAAAGACAGCATGAGAGGTCAAGATTGAGAGATGGTGAGAGAGAGAGAAAAAGAAGAGAGAGAGAGCAGAAGAGAGAGACTGGTCTCTGGAGCATGGAAACTGTCAATCCACCGCAGTGGAAAGTTCTCACAAACCAAAAAGAAACACACATACAGCAACTGCACAAACACACCAGCTAACTTAAATCGCACAGCAACTACAGTGTGCTAAAGTAGGGTGTGTATGTACCACCTACTAGAGCTATAGGTGTTGGAGTAAATAAGTGTTTTGTTGACTGAGTTGACCACTGACCATCAATCTGATGTAGTTTATTGTGGCCAACTGAAAACGCACCATGGGTTTGTTGTCTTCAGATCTTTACACACACCTCTGAGCTCATCCTCCCCTCTCTCTCTCTCTCTCTCTTTCCACAGAGCCATAAAGTTCAGACACCGCAGGGAGAGGACTATGAAGGCAGAACTTTCCACGGGAAGAGGGTTAGTTCAGCTTTCTTTATTTCTCTTCCTGTCTGTCTGTCTGTCTGTCTGTCTATCCATCTCTCTCTCTCGAACTTTCTCCTACTCATTCACTTGTTTCCAGTTCAGTCATCTAGTGCCCTCTGATCAGAAAATACTATCTCTTTGTAATTTAAATGAGCTCTCTATAACCAGGTTTCCATCCAACCGTTTTATGCGAGTAAAGTACGTCGGATAAAAAAAATGTCATGACAGGCCAAATGTCGACACAACAAAATACGCTAGACTATGTGAGAAATGTCGATGGAAACGCTTTTATGTGCAAATATTGATATAATAACAATCAAATCGAAGTAAACTTGGTGTCACGCGATGACATGTCGTGTGGTCCTCCTACTACAACTCGTTGGGAAAGCACGCAGTTTATTAGGCTACAGATGAAATAAGTTATGAACTTCACAGGGTGGTTCAAGTGCAAGGTGATGAGCTTGATGCTCCTTTCCAATAAATATCGATGGTCTTATTCTGGTGACATGATCATCAATGCTTGGCTGCTGTTTGACAAGTACAAATAATCTTGCTCTTTTGTCCGTAATCTCATAATGTAGGCTATACAGTACGCGTGTTTTAGCCAACAGCGAGCAGATACCTGCATGCTGTTGGCTAGAGCGCATGTGCCAATATCGGAGTAGGCACACTCGCCATGTAACGCAAAACTAATTGTGAGAAAACCATCAGTAGAGTTGAAAATGCGATGGAATTTAACTTGTATTTTTTATTCGGTACATGGGAATTTAATAGCAAAATATATATTTTTATGTGCACTACGTCACTCACAGCCTTTTATCTGCAATAAGTCCATTTGATGGAAACACATCTCTGGTGTGAAAATGCGCATATTTTTTTTTATGCAGATTTTTGAATATTCACATGAAAATCTGTCGCCAATTGGATGGAAACCTAGCTTTTGATAACATCTTTAATCTATTATTAGATGTGAACTCAATCCTGTGTATTTGTCAGCCAGTGTTGTCATAATGAACAGTATAGTATTGCTATCTTGTACATGTTCTTGTTCTTAAATGTATTTACTGTACTCAGTTGTCAGTCAGTGTGTTAATCCATCTCTCCTGGTTTTCCGTAGATCACAGGAGTGTCCATCCTTCGAGCGGGAGAGACCATGGAGCCAGCTCTCCGAGCGGTGTGTAAAGATGTCCGCATCGGGAAGATCCTCATCCAGACCAATCAGGACACAGGAGAACCAGAGGTATGGATCTGAAAAACACACATGCCTTGAGTAGGACCATGGGACCTGGTCAGAATAAATTCTGGGCCATAGTTATAGCCCTGTTGTCTGTCCTTCCTCCCCTCTTTCCTCCCTGTCCCTCCCTCTCAGCTGCACTACCTGCGTCTGCCTAAGGACATTGGTGAGGACCATGTGATTCTGATGGACTGCACCGTGTCCACAGGAGCTGCTGCCATGATGGCCGTACGAGTCCTCCTGGTGGGTGAACACATTAGGGTTACACTTTATTTTACTCTGTGCTATTTACAGGTATTTACTGTCATAGCACAATGGTAATTATGTCATAATTAAGGTGACATCTTTCTCTGTCACCCTGTCTGTCTTGTCCTGTCCAGGATCATGATGTCCAGGAGGATAAGATCTTGCTGGTGTCTCTGCTGATGGCTGAGATGGGGGTTCATTCTGTGGCCTACGCCTTCCCTAAGGTCCAAATCATCACCACCGCCGTCGACAAGAAGGTCAACAACCTTTTCCACATCATCCCCGGCATAGGTGAGAGACATTGTTTGTGTGTACGCACGCACGCCTGTCTGTGCTCTGCTTCAAACTCTAATCTATGCTGTTGTCTTGTCCCAAGGAAATTTCGGTGACCGGTACTTTGGTACAGACGCACCCCCAGACTGGAGCGATGAGGAGATGGATGAGCCCAGACAGACCCATTTGAAGTGGACATTTGAATGATTCAGTGGTGTGCCCTTTGGAGGACAATTCAGGAATGTGCTCTTCGCCCCACTGGGCAGCTACGTGCACCCCCTCATTTTGGGGACCCAAGAGATTCAACCACAAAGACCAGGGAGGTTTTCCAATGCCTCGCAAAGAAGGGCACCAATTGGTAGATGGGTTAAAATAAAAAAGCCATTTAATATCCCTTTGAGCATGGTGAAGTTATTAATTACACTTTGGATGGTGTATCAATACACCCAGTCACAACAAAGATACAGGCGATTAGCCTACATGGTGGTGTGTTGTGTCCTGCTGTTTACCTTTCTGTTGCATGGGAATTTTATATAAAATTAAAAAAGTTACCAACTGGGCGTAAACGTCAATTCAACATCTATTCCATGTAATTTCATTGAAATGACATGAAACAACGTTGATTCAACCAGTGTGTGCCCATTGGGATTTCCGGTCAAGGGATGGCTGTTGGCTAGTTTGTTCGCTGTTCGCAAACCTTGATTTTAAGCAGATTCTTACGCACTCAGCTGTTATTTTCTCACAGATGTTTAAATGGTCATGCACTAGTTTTATTACTTTACCATCACTTTTTAAAAGTTGGCGCTTTTAGGTCGTGTCTACACTTGACACTTACATGTGACTTCTGCTATCAGAATACGAAGATCGTCTAGATGCACAAAAATCGCTTTGTGGTCTGATTGTATTCAGATCTGGCTCACCACTTCAGGAAGTGGTCAGGGATGCATTGTGTGCAGATTTCTCCTCAGTCTGGACTGGACGCAATTAGGCTACTGAAAGCGCATACAGTGGGAGACTTCATCAGCACTCCTCCCACAAGTCTCCAGAAAACGTGTGTTTTGGGACCAAGAGGCACATTTTCATTATAACGTTGGAGGAAATATGTTCCTAGTGTGTGAGGAATGTGTTTTTGTTGGCTTCATAAATGCCAACCAGCTAGATAATATTTACAAAATATTTACAAAAAAAATTTGTGGATACCACCGTTTGTAGAATGCATACTGGCATTTCAATATAGAGCGGGAAAAGGGAATCCGGACACACTGTTGACATGGTAGATGCATGACGTGTTCGGATTTCCATGATCAGAATACTAAAGCTGCATGAACTGTCAAGTCTAGACACGGCCTTAGACTAGCTTCTTCTTCTTCTTCTTCTTCCAAGATTTTATTGGTGGACTACATCCAAAAAGGTGTATTGCCGCCACCTACTGGGTGGGGTAAAAACAGATACTTTAACGAAAATAAGAAATACAAAAATAAGGGAAAGAAATACAGATATATATATTTTTTTTTTAACTAAACAAAAGTCAATGTACTTCTTCAATTAGTAAAATGTACTCAGAGAGGGGGGGAAGCATCTTCAGACAGTATTCCCTACAATGTTTCAGCCGTGAAATCCTGGAGATCCAAGAGCCTTTTAGCCGCTTTCACAATGATTTCTAGTTTCTTCGACTTTCTGTTAGTTTGTCCTGTACAATGAATCACCTGCGCAATAAACGCAACAAAATCAACCTTCGTATTTCAGGATCTCTCAACTGACTGACATCCACAGACTGTTGGGCATCATCCACTGCCATAGCTAGATCATCTCTACTCGCTGCTTCTACTATTTTCACTGCCTCTGCTCAGGAGACCTTCTTGACAGCCTCGATCCTTCCTACTTTGACCTCCTTCACCCTAACAGGGCACTCATGGAACTCTGCGATTCCCATCGCAATTACAACGCCGTGCACACTTGACAGGTGGCCAAACTTTTGACATTGATGACATTGAAGTGGCTTTTGTACATAAGCTCGCACAGCATATCTCATATATCCCAGTTTTACATGGGTCGGGAGAACTTCTTAAACAAACATCAATAATACAGAAAGGCTTTCCTAGCCTACTCTCATTCCCACACATCCTGATCTACCTGCTAGCCTACCTGTGAGTGGCTCCTCCCTCTCAACAAGCCCCGCGGAGCAATTAGTCAAAGATAATACGGTATGAAGATAAGCAGAAACTGCTTCTCCAATTGAAATAAATCCATGATCATGCTTGTAGGTGATGTCATGGCGATGTTAGCTAGCTAAGATCTTACACGTCATCGGATCAAACGCTAATTTTGCGCTGAACCGCGCATGTGCAGGCCGTCAAATCAAAAGCACTCCTTCGATATAAAGTAGTTTTTGATGAAAATGAAAACGTGTCAGTTTGTCGCTTTCACAAGGTTCTAGAGCTCCGACTTTCCGACCTGAAAATCACTGACGTCATGACTTCGTATTTTTCAGAGTTCCCAGTTGTTTAGAACGCGGCGTGAGTCTTCGAACTTGTGGCCGCCTCTATTGCCCTGGGCACCGCCTCTCACACCAGGTTGGGTGAAACATCAGCACTTTATTCATGAAGGTTCTTCTTTCTGAGTAGGATTCTAGGCCTATGTTGGCTATCATATTGAGACAATTACAACTGTTGTTGTCATGCTTAATTAGTGTGGCTTATTGTACCTTTTTATTATTATTGCTATTCTTTGGAAATGTACTCCACTTACACCTTTAAACTTTAAAACATGCAGACTGGTCTGGAAAAGTTTTGTCACACAACACAATGCCACAGATGTCTCAAGTTTTGAGGGAGCGTGCAATTGGCATGCTGACTGCAGGAATGTCCACCAGAGCTGTTGCCAGAGAATTTAATGTTAATTTCTCTACCATAAGTCTCCTCCAACATCGTTTTAGAGAAGTACATCCAACCGGCCTCACAACCGCAGACCACATGTATCCACACCATCCCAGGACTTCCACATCTGGCTTCTTAACCTACGGGATTGTCTGAGACCTGCCACCTGGGTAACTGATGAAGCTATGGGTTTGCACAACTGAAGAATTTCTGCACAAACTTTCAGAAATCGTCTCAGGAAAGCTCATCTGCGTGCTCGTCTTCCACACCAGGGTCTTGACCTGACTGCAGTTCGGCGTTGTAACCGACTTCAGTGGGCAAATGGTCACCGCCAATGGCCACTGGCATGCTGGAGAAGTGTGCTCTTCATGGATGAATCCCGGTTTCAACTGTACCGGGCAGATGTATCGTGTGTTTGCTGATGTCAACGTTGTGAACAGAGTGCCCCATGGTGGTGGTGGGGTTATGGTATGGGCAGGCATAAGCTACGGACAACAAACACAATTGCATTTTATTGATACCATGATGAGATCCTGAGGCCAATTGTCGTGCCATTCATTCGCCGCCATCACCTCGTGTTTCAGCATGATAATGCACAGTCCCATGTCGCAAGGATCTCTACACAATTCCTGGAAGCTGAAATGTCCCAGTTCTTCCATGGCATTCATACTTCAACAGACATGTCACCCATTGAGCATGTTTGGGATGCTCTGGATCAACGTGTACGACAGCGTGTTCCAGTTCCCACCAAGAATCAGCAACTTCTCACAGCCATTGAAAAGGAGTGGGACAACATTCCAAAGGCCACAATCAACAGCCTGATCAACTCTATGCAAAGGAGTTGTGTCGCGCTGCATGAAGTGGTCACACCAGATACTGACTGGTTTTCTGATCCACCCCACTACTTTTTTTTAAGGTATCTGTGACCAACAGATGCATATCTGTATTCCCAGTCATTCCCAGCGTCGTCCAGGGTAGGGGAGGGAATGACCGGCAGGGATGTAGCTCAGTTGGTAGAGCATGGCGTTTGCAATCGATTCCCACGGGGGGCCAGTATAAAAAATAAATTAAAAAAAATGTATGCACTAACTGAAAGTCGCTCTGGATAAGAGCGTCTGCTAAATGACAAAAATAAATAAAACAATAAAAAATGATTTTAAAAAATTGTGAAATCCATAGATTAGGACCTAATTTATTTATTTAAATTGGTTGATTTCCTTATATGAACTGAAACTCAGTAAAATCTTAGAAATTGTTGCATGTTGCGTTTATATTTTTTTTCAGTGTATCTTCTACCAATCAAAAATGACAGCTGTTCCAGTAACCACCTCAACTACTTCTCATCTCAACTTCTACAAACAACTGACATTTATAGCACTTTCCCAACACTTTAGAGAAAAACGTAGAGGGTATTACATCTTTGTCTACTTCTCTGCTATTTATATCTGGAATCAGAACAGAATGATCTACTACCAGTTGTTTTAGTAACTGCATCAACTAATTTAGCTAACTTCTCAATGTTGAATGAACTGCCATTGACCTTTTCAGAACATTCAAATTATAACAATGGGGGAGCACATAAGACTTATGCCACACAGCTCACTCCAACCCACTAAACTAACCTACCACTGTTTGTCTACACGTAGTTATCGTTGACCTTTAGTACTGGTCTGTAGGCTGCCTTGCACAGTAGTAAACACCCATCCAGCTTGCAGCGCTGATGTGCAATTCTGTGCTCGCCACCCACTAGAACCAGACTAAAACACAGAAGTAGGATTGGAGACGACTAGGGCTGTGGCGGTCATGAAATTTTGTCAGCCGGTATCTGTAATGCAAATAACTGCCGGTCTCACGGTAATTGAGCGTTAATTAACATAAATATGTTTAGCATCTCCGGGCCTCCACTCATAGACTACAAGCATATGATGTGGACCTTTGGAACCTACATTTTAAAAAGTCAAATAAATCCATTTAATATTGCCTAGACCATCACAATATTCTGTGTTGAACGGTTAACAAAGTGATAATTTGAAACAGGTCCTCCTATATGCTTAATTTTGAGTTATTTATTTAACTTTAGTTGTCATACAAAGCTTAGGCTATATGTTTAGATTTATTTATATATTCTAAGGCTGTATGATGTGACTAATGATAATTTGAAAAAAGTCACATGAAAGGAATGCGCTCTGATCTGTTTCTTGTGCAGGCTGCACATACTTCATCAGTCTCTCATTCACAATTTGACAAGTACTTGATAATATGCTCACCCATCAGACTATTATCAATTTAATCTGGTCTTTGAATATAGCCTACTATTATATGTGTGGATTATTTATTTTTTGAATGGCCCATAAAACAAAAGTAATCTGTATAGCCTGCACTCGAACAGCAAATGGAGGAAGTGCTAGTGCTTCCGTGGTTATGTTTTTAATATGCTACTACCAG